TTTAAGTGATAACACTCCCTTCGGTATTGGAGCATGACAGATGGATGGAGTTCCGTCAAGCAACACAAAGATATTGCATGGCTGCATATATTCGGTTGGATATATAGAGACGGAGTAAAAAAATACCTATTGAAGAAAAAAGAAACACGACGATGTTGTGCCTTGGAACGGTGTACTTGATCATAGATGAGAGAGTCTTCACTACCCGCTGGTGCGGACGAAGACCTCACCGGCGCGATCGCCCGCGGGGCCGCGGCTACTGCGGATGGCCGCCGGCCTGGGAGGTGGAGCACTGGAGTGGTGTTCCTCGACCAGGTGGCTGATCGAGAGAGGTGGTCCATATCACGCCATCGCCAAGAGGCCAGCCCATGCGGGATAGCCAAGCCGGCGCGCGGCGCGACGCAGCTCAGGCGCAAGACAAGGGTGGTCGCGCGCGTACGGGCGCTGCCGTGCTGGGCGATGGGCCGTTATTTGCTATCCCAGCCCATGTACAGCAGTGCCGTTCGAGTGGGAGGACGAATAGTTGCACAACCGTACATACAAGAGTCAAAGCAGCTTGTGCTGTTGTGCTACCATTAACTTCGAAAAACAAAGCATCTATTGATGACTCACACCTGGGGCATTAACTTACAACTAGTACTATACACGCCGATAGGGGTGTTCGGCTCCTTCGGTTTGTGGATGCACAGCCAAAGCGCTACAGCCACGTACATCAGCTTACATCAATCAACCCTGAACACAGAACACCTCTATATATATATGCATATTTAAACTGTGGTTTAACCGGCGGGCCACCAGTCTAGGCTGTGTTTGCTGGGGGAGGTTGGGAACAAATTTTCTTCATACGGAAAACGGAGCAGTCCATTAACGCTTGATTAATTAGAAATTAGCTAATTTTTTTTAAAAATGAATCAATATGATTTTTTTAAGCAATTTTTGTATAGAAACTTTTTGCAAAAAAAACACACCGTTTAGCAGTTTGAAAAGCGTGTACGCGGAAAACGATGGAGAGGTGTTGGGAACCCTTGGGTCCGAACACACCCTAACCGGTGAACCAAGCCACTGACCGGTTTGATGATCTGTTCGACTTTTCATACTATGCACTTTCGTTGTCCGTCTGCAAGATGACTAATCAACGACATCGCACAGCCGCAACCGCAAAGGCCAACTAAGCTCAAATAGAGCTGAAAGAAAAAAACGCTGGGTTACTCGGTTCAAAATTATTCTGAGTGATTTGGTATTTTTCTTTTAACTAGAAAAAATACCGGTGCGTTGCAACAGGTGAAGATTATTTTAATCTTATTATTGTTATATGGTTTAGTTAAGATGATATTCACCGTGGGAATTCGCTTGAAAAATCATAAGCTATAATTCGGAGTCCGATCATCTAGATCAAGTTAGCATGCGAGATTTTTAAAGAGATATCTTATACGACTCCTTCCGTATTTCCAAAAGTAATCGAACTTAAAACTCGACTAAAATACGAATATGTATTTCCAAAATCAAACAAAATTAAAAACCGACTCATACATGGATGACGTACCAAAGTACTGACAAAAACATCTTCTTTTATAGTAGTCGAGAAATGAAAATTATTCAATTTCAGACGAAATTTGTTTTCACTCTGACTTGGCTTGGCTTGTTGGCTAGTTAATAATAACCAGATAGCCTAACTAGTCATACAGGTATATGTTGTAGGTTATGTTTGAGATATAAGTGTGGAATATAAATCAAAGAATATTTGTCTCCCTTCAAAAGTACGATTTCTCCACATTTTTTTCGTCAGCATTGCATATTTAATTAGTCCCCATAAACAATTATTTATAATCTTGTTCATCATCTAAAAATGAGGTATACTTATTTGATATAGAAAGCATGCCTACCAAGTTATGTTTCAGGTAAAAGTAAAGTGTTTTCTTCTTTTAATTGGATAAAAAATGTAGGTTGTCAATTTTTACTTATCGATTGGATGGGACATTAAGCTCTACGTAATCTAGTGTGAATATGATTGGACGCCTAAATATAATTGGGCAATATCTTTTTGAAATGTGATGTATTATAACGCTTGAATAAGATACATAGGAGGAGAAGGTAAAGGTAGAGGTAGAGGCGGAGGGTTTTTTTTTTATTATATATAAGATGGATTTAACGGTTAGAAATAATGGCTCCATAGGTTTAAGTCACGAGGGACGAGATATTTTGTTTTGTCTCGAAATCTTTTGGATTTTCACTAATTAATTTGAGTGTCACGTAGATCTAGAAGTATTTGTAAGGATAATACATAATGGCTTTATACTTAAAAAGGAAGAACTATTATCTAACCAAAAAATAATAATACAATTCGAGAATAAGAGCAGTGCTCGAGCAGCCGTGGGTCTATCTTCCTAGTTCTACTAAATCCGAGTACTGAATTTTACCGATTATATAAATCCGAGAGGCGTCTCGCGCAGGTCGAAAAACGCGATTTTTTCTTCCACGCATTTGCATATCCTCGGTGGTTGCAATCTTGCCGTTCTTCCTCGTGGTCTGACTGTCAACACTGGCCAACAAATCTGTGGAAATCGCGTGGCCGGGGAGCATGGCATGCGGTTCAAGGAAGCCCAGCGCGTCACCGGCATGGACAAAACATAATAGGAAATTAAGACCGCTTTAGCTCACGTGAAGACATGAACAAAAGGGAAAAAAAATGAAACGAACACAAACAATACTACTACTCCAATACTATTCTCAATGGGTCGGCCCTCACATTGGGGATATTTTGTTGTTTTTGAACATTTAATTTTTTTTTATTTTACAAATAAACAATTCTAAAACTTATTCCAAAATTAAATCTTTTGGTTACGCCAACTCGTCTGGCATAACAAAATAACGATGTCACGCCATCCGCAATGGGCGTGACCGTTTTGTCTTACTACACTATTCAGGGTGACGTGACAGACAACGTTATCATGCTAGTTAGACCGACTTGAGCAAATAACGAGGTCATGCTATTCAAACAGACGTGACAATATTGTTTTGCTAAGCCAGCCACGATGTGATAGTGTTTTTTTTTGCCACATCAGCTAGAAATATCCAGATCTCAGAAATAAATGTTAGCAAGTTTGTATTTAAAATTAAAAATTAAACATTTCAAACCAAATAAAAAAATCATGTTTAGAACAACTAAATACATGTTGCGACACTGCAGCTGTGCGGCAGGAGCAGATACAACGGCTGCAAGCAGCCAAGTCCATAGTGGTACAATTATGGATGACCATAAGGCCCAAGGCCCGACGGTTGGCCCAAGCATGGCACGGTCTTACAGCTGGGTCGTGCCTAGGCCAATGCCTTGGCACCGTGGGCTGGCCTGGCACGGCACGGTCGAAGAAAAATGGTAGAGGGGTCCAAAATAGACTTAATCAACCATATAAGGCAAGGCCCAAAACATGAGGAATACAAATAGACTTATTTCCAGCCATATAAGACATAGCCTAAAGAGTTTGGAATCTAATTCAAGAAGTGCAGCCCACTACGAGATCGGATCAGATCACTTAGAAGCTCAAAAACCACGGTGAATACACGACAGCATCAGTTTAAAAAGCGCAAATGCTTGGTTCAACACCTACAAACTATAGAGTGATCATTTAGAAGCCTTGGGCACTTAAAAAAAAACAAAATCTTCGACTGGCTAGTGGTGCAAAATAAAGTGTGGACATCTGATTGGCTAGCGTCATACATATGCCTGAACCACACCTACTCCCCACTCAGTACGCATACCTCGAAGATAGCCTTTCACCTCAGGGGCGAAGCCAGGATAAATGATCGTCGGGGTCTACTAACTAGTGATACTAACAATAGACTATAGCTTGTAGTAATCTAAGACTATACATAAGATGGAACAAAATAAACAATGATATATTATGATAAAATACAGTGTTGTTGCAGTAGTGGTTACCTATTACATGTTACAAATCTTGTATATGGCTCCGATCCATCACAATTTTCTTGGTCACCAACGGGGGTTTATTTCTTTTCAAGAATTGCTGCATTATAATTTGCTTGCCTATTAAATAATTATTGAACAAGATTGATCAGTAACACAATTTCACAAATTAGACAACAAATGAACAAGCACCCACTACTATCAAAATCAATAATTTCTTACAATCTATTATACTGGAAGAATAAAATTATGATTCAATCCTCCTCCTTGTTCATGACCATTACTTCATCAGACCTTGTAAAAGAAGTCAGAATAAGTTAAAAGGAATGCATATTTCAGAACCGTAATTTTTTAATGTTTCAGACATGAGTGACCAAACCAAGGCACTCTAGCCATTTTGTGATGATAATTAAGAAATTGGGAAAGGGTTACCTGATCAAAACCTTACAGCTCGGCTACTCGTGCTCATCTTCGCCGATCCTAGTCTTTGCATGTTCCACCGCCCATCCGGTCCGTGCCTATCCTTAGATGCTGGACTCGAGAAGACCTGAAGACGAGAAGTCAAGACTGAGAGACACTATAGTTATTTGTGGAGATTAGTGGGCTGCCAGCCTTGTGGACTCACATCCAAACGTTATCTCATTATGTGGGTTAGGCTGACACATAATGCATACGACCTAGCTTAGCTATTTTTCTATTTTGTTGTGCCATTCTTAGTTGTTAATCACAATTGAGCTTTAACTAATCAAATCCACTAGGGTCTAATGGTTTTCTTCAGTGGGATCATGGCTGTAAGATAGATGGGGTATACGAAGGTTGTGGAAAATCGTCGGGGTCTACTAACCCCAACGTCTTGCTCTAGCGTCGCCCTTGTTTCACCTCCTAGTGGAATATAGGTATACCGAGAGAATTTGGAGAATGTTGTGCGCTTGGAAAAAATCAAACTGAAAAGTTGGGCCCAGCTGCGACAGCCCACGAATGGTGGACAAGGCTTGCCACCACCAAAGGAGTGAAAAAAAAAAAGGTTGCGCATACTAATCCTCCTAATGGCTTGGCAAGTTTGAAAGGAATGGAACTATAGAGTCTTTAGGCACAAATAACTTACGGCGGCAAAGTTGGCCACCAAGATCAAGGAAGTGGCAAAGAGGCTCAGGCGGAGCAAAAAGATTATATGACATTTTACAATAGCATAGAATTTTTTTTTCTTTCTCCTGTGTAGGCTTATACTTGTATAGTTTTGCTTCTTCTCTATTCAATGTGCACTAGTACAAATTCGTTAAAAATAATATAATTCTGGTGCCGAGTATGGTAATTGATCTGGCCAATAATATAGTCGTCCAACTATTTGATCAGGACAGGCACAGCCTTGAGAGGCACAGCAAGGACATTGGCAGTCTTGAACTTCTCGGACACGTCCAACTCCTCCGCCGTCATGCCGCCGGGGAGCTCCCACTCGAACGTGTGCAGCATCGACGCCAGAATGAACGGCACGACACGCTCGGCCAACGGCAGCCCAGGGCACAGCCGCCTCCCGGACCCGAACGGCATGAACTCCACGTCCTTCCCTCTGAAGTCCAGCTGCGGCGTCCTCTCCACGAACCGCTCCGGCACGAACTCGTCGGGCCTCTCCCACGCCGCCGCGTCGCGCATGATCGCCCACGCGTTGAAGAGCACCGTGGAGCCCTTGGGCACCGCGTAGCCGCCGACCTCCACGCCGTCCTCCATGGCGAAGTGCGGCAGCAGCAGCGCGCCCACCGGGTGCAGTCTCATGGCCTCCTTCAGCACGGCCTGCAGGTAGGGCAGCCTCGCCGCGTCGGCCTCCTCCACGATCTCCTTGTCGCCGAGCACATCCCTCAGCTCGGCGCGCGCCTTGGCCATCACGCTCGGGTTTTTGAGCAGCTCGGCCATTACCCACTCCAAGGTAAGAGCCATGGTGTCAGCCCCGGCAACGAAAGCCTCGAACAACATGTTGAGCACGTTGACACGATCGATCTTGCCGGCAGCCATGAGCTCGAGGATTGAGTCGAGGAAGTCGTCGTGCCTCGGCTTGTTGTCGCGGATGTGAGCCAAACGGCGGTCGATGATGTCGCCCATGATGGAGAACACCCTGTTGAACCGCTTCGTCGTCCAGCGGCGCAGGCCCTGCAGGTCCAGCGGCCGGAGGAACGGGTAGAAGTCGGACACGTTGGGCTTCCCGACCACCAAGATGATGTCGTCCACCACCTCCCGCAGCTCGCGGGCCATCTGCGAGCCCATGTCGACGATGTCGACGGAGAAGTAGGAGAAGGACACCATGTTGAGGATGCCCGTGTACATGGCGTGGCCGACGAGCACCTCCTCCCCGGCGTGCGCGCGGAGGTAGGCGATGAGGTCGCCCACCTTCCTCTCGCGGATGGGGCGCACCGCGGCGAGCACCCGCGGGGTGAAGACGTGCGAGGCGTGGATCCCCCGCAGGGCCTTCCACTGCGGGTCGGAGCTCGGGATGAACACCATGGAGCGGTCGGCGAAGCCGCAGGCGCGGAAGGTGTCCGGGGTGGCGCGCGCGGCGAGGTGGCGGTCGTACTTGGTGTACGCCTCGATGGCGGCCTCCCGGGAGGAGATGACCACGTTGGTGGCGAGTCCGAGCTTGAGCGTCATGACGGGGCCGTGGACGCGTGCCAGGTCCCTGAGCTTGTGGTGGAACGTGCCGCCGCCGACCAAGTGTAGGTTGCCGATGAGCGGCAGCGGCGTCGGGCCCGGGGGGAGGGGCTTGCCGCCGGCGTAGCGTCGTCGCAGGGTGGAGAAGTAGAAGAAGAGCGCCACGGAGAGGGCTCCCCACAGAAGCCACATCTGGCTATTCTCCATTGTTTGCGACGAACCGTGCAGTAGTAACACACTATCTACTGTTATTGTTACTATCGTTGTATCAGTTTTTTCTCTGGACCTAGCTAGGTAAGCTCGTGCTCTTGTTGCTGCGGACACAGCTCGTATATATTTATAGATCAGCAGAGCCGATGCCTACTCATTTAATTTAGTGCATGGAATTTATTCAGGCTTCTCGTCTAACGTCAAAGGTAGATATCGTTTTCTGAAACGATCAAAGTCTATCTCCACGTGAAAATATACGATGCCATTATCTTGGGAAAACACTCTCTATTGCTGACACAATATCGTAATGTTACACTATTTTCCTGTTATCAATTTTGATTGTTCCTCCTCCGTGCTCAAATATATTCGTGGCTCTGTCACTGTCAAGGAAAATGAAGGGATGGGGACAGTTTCAGCACACCTGACGACGAACCTTCATGGCAACATTTTCTATGCATGTGAGCTGCGTACTGACATTTTGACATTTTAACCTTTTGCAAAAATCTATTTTACAAATACACCCTAACAAAAACTATAACTAAAAGCAGGATCAAAATTCAAAACTCAGCGCCAAAGCGTGTCGGCGAATTGAACCGAAGTCATTAGAGTAGTAAATGCAAGCGCTCACCACCAAGCTAAGGCTTTATTATTCTATAGGATTAATAGGGATAGCAATTTTGCCCATGGGTCTAGGTATCCACGGATACTAGGTCTGATGGGTATGTGTGTGGGTATAATTTGTTATTGAGTGAAGTGCACGGGCGGTCCCTAAATTTATATGGGTGTATCATCTAAATGGTTAAACTCTGAAATTGTATTTCTTTTTGTTTTTCCTCAAACTTATCCAAACGAACTCTAACCGCTCTATGAGCTGACGTGGCATGCCACGGTGGCATCTACATGTCAAAGGATCCATATGTCAGTCATATATAGAAAAAGTAAAATTTAAAATGACACGAAAGAGATGAGAAAAAGATGTTTTTAATTTTAAAGATATAAATTAAAAAAGAGAGGAGAAAAAATATGTTGTTAATTTTTTTTCAATATATGACTGATATGTGAGTAGATACATAATCATACATAGGCGCCAACATGGCAAGCCACATCAACACACAAAGTGGGTTGGAATCCATTTGGACCTAAATAACATCCAATACAAGTTTAGGGATCAAAAATGCATTTTGAGAATTTAGGTACCTAGATGACACATCTGCACAAGTTTAGGGACCTCTCGTGCACTTTACTCTTATTTTTACCATATGCATGCCTGCTCCAGACCCAGACGATGTAGTTGGCAGCATGTGGATTTTATTTTTTGCCCGTTAGTTACTCATGCCTGACAAGTTTAGGGATCAAAAATGCATTTTGAGAATTTAGGTACCTAGATGACACATCTGCACAAGTTTAGGGACCTCTCGTGCACTTTACTCTTATTTTTACCATATGCATGCCTGCTCCAGACCCAGACGATGTAGTTGGCAGCATGTGGATTTTATTTTTTGCCCGTTAGTAACTCATGCCTGACATGACAAGTTTAGGGATCAAAAATGCATTTTAAGAATTTAGGTACCTAGATGACACATCTGCACAAGTTTAGGGACCTCTCGTGCACTTTACTCTTATTTTTACCATATGCATGCCTGCTCCAGACCCAGACGATGTAGTTGGCAGCATGTGGATTTTATTTTTTGCCCGTTAGTAACTCATGCCTGACCTAGTATATAGCTATTAGTTGTTTTTGACCCATCTCTCACTGAGTGTTGGTTGATGCAAGCATTGTAGTAATAATTTATACTGAATATTTTGCCTGGATGATTGTACTTCTACCTTTAACTGTTGAATGCTTGTGTTGAATACCGTTAATTTGAATTGTTGGAGTGTTGGTGAATGCCCAAATTAATGGAGATTATTTGTGATGCTAGCTAGTGATAACTTGTGATAAAATTTGAATTATTGTTGATAATCGATAATTTGGTTGACTATTGATTTGTTGTTCTTGTGTAAATGACCAATCTAATGATATACTATTCATGCCAGACTCACCGAATTCCTGCCGGTCATAGGTACGGACACAGAATTTTAACGGCTAACCCTACTGGGTAAGGTTCGGGGTGGGTGATACCAGGTGGTAGGTCGGGCATGGTTTTGTTTCGCCTGTACCTGAACCAAACCATTTCCAACCCTATATAAGGATCTACAAGCCATTTTATCCAAATAAGTGGACCAACGCAAAGAATATGGGTGCTAAGATGTATGGGCCATAGCAATAAGCTTTGTCCATTTGTAGTTATAGTTTTTGCAAGGGTCCACTTATAAATTAGGTTTTATGAAAAGGTAATTTTTTCAAATTCTCAGGAGCTACATATATGAGTTTTTTTTTAAATATAATACGTACACATGCACTCCTATAATCACGCGTGCACTCACTCTTAATTACAAAGGCACACATGTACACATATACCTTCGAATATTGGATCGACATGTCTCAAGATTTAAGAATCACCACATGCGTCTTACTGTCAAGTATGTCACTGTAGCGCCCGTTCCGTCGTGGCGCCTAGCAGGAAAATTATCTCTTAAAAACCCTAATTGCGAAATTTGTTTCTTTGCTTGTTGTCTAGTGTCCGTGCCATCTCAAGATTTCAATCCCCGATCTATCGTCGAGTTCAATTCCGAATCCAATCCCTCCAAATCAAATTCCTCCGCAAAAGTCTAGTTTGCCTCCCCCGTGTTCGATGGGCAAATTTCCGCTCGGCCCATCTCTCCCCCGGCCCCCTCTCTCCCGGGCGCTCTCTCTCTCTATCTCTCTCTCTCTATCTCTCTCTCTCTCTCTCGCTCCCCCCCGGCGCGTTTCCCCCCCCCCCCGCTCGCTGCTCGCGCGTGCGAGAGCCGCGCCGAGCGCCCCCTCCTCTCGCGCGAGCTCCCCGCTCGCAAAGCCGGCCCCGCGCGCCGTCGCTCGCGCGCGCGCCCGCGTGGTTTCCCGCCCGAGCCGCGTCGTCTGCGCCGTCCGCGTCGCCCGGTCCCGCTGCCCAGCCGCGCCGCCCGTTGTTTCCCGCGCGCGCGTGCCGAGTGGCCGACCGCCCGGTCGCCGCCGCCGTCACCCTCTGCCGCGCCAGCCCGCGCCTGTCGCCCGTGTCGTCGCGCCGCTCCAAACCGCCCCGCCGTCATCGCCGTCGTTATCGCCAGGCCCCCGCCACTCCGCGCGCTAGCCTCCAAGGGGCGGAGGCAGAGAGCCCCTCTCCCTCTGCCGAGTCGCCCCGCTCCCTCCTCCTTTTCCCGAATCGGCAAAGGGGCGAGCCCCTTTCTCTCCCTCCTTTTCCTCTTTTTCTCCCCTTTTTCCCCTCTCGCCGGCGTCACCTCCTGTCGCCGCTTTGGACGCTAGCCGGAGCACCAGCTCGCCGGCTTGACCGCCCTTGTCGGTTCCCCTCTCTCAAACCGACATTGCCACCCTTTTAAACCCGTCTTCCCCCTCCCTTCCTTTCCTCTCCCATTCGCCTCCTCACCGTTGTCGCCGCTCCCGTGCTCTGCCTCGCCTCCGCCGTCCATCGCCAAGCGCCGGGAGAGCCGGTGCGTTCGTGGACGCGGAAGGGGACTCCGGGCGCGCCCCCTTCTTCCTCTTCCTCGGGCCGAGGCCGGAGAGATCACTCCCGCGCCATCGGCCTCTCGTCACTGCGCCCCGTCCCGCACGGTAGTGTCTCTCTCCGTTCTTCCTCCTCGCTCCATCTCCTCCCACTAGCTTTCGGTAGTAGCTTGAGTAGACTCCCCGTAGTTAGCCGGCGCCGCCCCGACCGTTGCCGTCGCTCGCCGTGTGCTCGCCGCCCGAGCTCCGTAGCACCCGCTCGTCGCCGGCCTCGCTCGGCGTAGTTCTGTCCAATCCGACGCTAGCGTCGAGTTCCCGACGCCGCGTAGATGCTCTCACCGCCGGGAATCGACCCCTCGTAGCTTCGTCGCCGTTTTCCCCTTCTCCCGCCACCGGTTGCCGCCGCCGCAATCCGCCGCCGTCGAGCAACCTCCGGCGAATCCGAGCCGTTGGTTCGTCTCCCCTCGTCACGAACAACCGCCCGGTGTGCTCGCTTTTGCCCGTATCACCGTGGTTCGCTCCGCCGCTCGCCGCCGCCGCCCGCCGTCCTTTCGTGGCCGGATCGTCGTCTACCTCCCGCCAGCCCACGTGGCAGCTACGTAGGCGCCACGTCGGCGCCAGCTCAGCCAGACCGGGTCGGGCCGACCCCGGTCGGTCCCTCCGCGTGCGCGCGATCCACCGCGAGCCGTGAGGCTGCGCGTGGGCCCGCCGCACCTGCGTCCACCGCGGACCGCGCGCATGCACCGCGTCCCAACCCCGCCCGCGCGCGTGCACCGCGTGCTCTCTCCGCGCGGTGAGCCGAGCCGCTGACAAGCGGGTCCCACCCGGGACCGCGCGCGGTGAGCCCGGTCCACCGGTCCCCTCTCTCCTCCCCTCCCGCGCGCGCTCTGGGCCACCTTTTGGGCCGGCCGCCCATTAAGCTCGGCCGAGCCGCCCCAAATCCCTTGGGCCGCACCCTAGCCGCCCGAGGAAAGTCTAAATTTCCTCCCTCCTTTCTTTTCTTTTTCTTTTCCAAAAAGGATTTAATTAAATCCTTTTCCTTTAGGCCAAAAATTCAATAATCTTATAAATTCAATATCTTCCCAACCGTAAATCCGTTGACTCCGTTCAACTTCCAAAATTCCCCAAATCTCGAGATCTATCTAATGGCACGCTTAGAGGTCATTAATAGGGCTTTATTTTCGCCGTTTGTTGAGTTGTCCCGTTTCGCGTGTAGTTCCGGAGCCCGAAGACCCGCAGTGCGAGGATTTCGAGGATCAAGCTCCAGATCTCGAGCAAAGCAAGCCACCTTTGAACATCTTGAGCCTATATTTGAAATTTAATTATATTGCTTGCAAAATATTATGCATTGATAGGATCGCACTTAATCTGTTGTCCCGTCTGCAAGGCAGATTGGCGGACCTGCCTAATTTGTTGTATTTGATCCTTCCTTTGTTAATTGCTATACCATGTCCCCTTGTAACCACCCAGTTGCGCCTCGATATTCGTGCACTCTGTGCGAGTATCGACGGTCGCCTTCAAACTTAAAATCTGAGTAA